AGGAGACACACAGGCACCTTTTCCTGAAGTATGAAATAATGGCCAAAATCCTATTGATTAACATAGTAAATTGCACTAGAGAAGGACCATTGAGCCAGTGATGTTTTGGTGGGTTACCTCCTCCACAGATTTTACTGATTCAAATTGTCCTATTTTAATTGTGACTTAGTTTGGCATAGGTCACAATTCAAGTAGGCTCATTTGAATCCATTGAACTTATGGAGGAGGTGATTCACCATTGATTTAATAGGCCTACTCTAATGTGATTTCCCATGTAAGCAACAGAACATTTTGCCAATAGGACATGGTGAATCCAACAGTTATGAGTGTGAAATGTGTGTGAGAGGGCATGATTAAATGCACATTCATATGCATGATGTTTGTTTGCTTTTTTGCATCTGTACCAACAGTTCCCAAATTATTGGACTACAGATCTAGAAGCTGTAGTCACCATAATAAGTGGACAGGATTTCTAGATGTAGTCCAAGAACATCTGGGGCTGTCAGTTTGGGAACTACAGATCTACATGCAGCCAATGTGAGAAGTAATCTAGAAGTTTGGACTTAATAATCATCAGTATCAATATGTAGAGGACGTGCTGCTTTACTTTGAGTGCCAAGAATTAATTTTGGCTGGTGGTTGATGGGAAGAAGGTGATGCTTATTCCAAACAAGAGAGAAACCAATTGGAGAACATACAAATCTAGATGGAGGTATGAGACTGGATTCGGTTACAAGAGTCACCTTGAAGGACCAAGTATAGGGCTGTTGGGGGATAGAGTTCTCTTTGATTCAGTGTCATTGTGGCTGTCTGTATAAATATGTGGTGGTCCTAGTTATTACAAATGCATTTTGAGTTTTGACTTATTCACAATTGCCATCCCTATCTGGAGAAAGAATTAACTAACAATAGCTGCTTTGTTGTTGACGTATAATGTACATTTCTCCCATTGAGGATTTTATTGCCAGTCTGCTGATAAAATGATAGAAAACCATTATTTTAGTTTAGTTTAGTTTAGTTTATTTTGAGTGTAACACAAACCAGGATTCTGGAGAATTAGGATTTTTTTTTCCTGGTGCATAAAGGCAGCCTCATGGAAGAGTATATTACACAACATCTAGTGTATGTCAGCAGAGTGAGGATGATTTTATAAAATATCTTAAAGGTCTCTCCAAGGGAACATAAAAGCTAAACAGACTCATGTGGGAGAATACAGTCTTTCAAATGGGCAGGTCCCAAGTTGCGCATGGATTTATATATCATAACCAACACTTTGAGTTGTTGTTCACTGAAACTGTTCTAACAAGTGGTTTAGTTCATAAATAAACAGGCTTCATAAATTCTGGCAAATAAACCAGTCAGAGGATTTCTTGTGATTTCTTTTACCCCTCGCTGTTAAGGAAAAGAGGGTTGGGGAATGTCCAAGGCCTGTGACTGGAAAGATCTAGTTTAATGAGCACCTTAATTTTAGTTTAGAGGAAACAAGGCCTTCCTGCAGCTGTGGAAGCTCAGTTTGAAGGAGCTGAGCTTCCATAGCTGCAGCAATGGTGAACTTTTCTTGCTGCCAGTTCCTAACAAAGACTTCTGTTTAAGACTTATTGGTTGAAATCCAGTCATGCAGTTATGAAAACTGCATAACTTCTGAAGGGAAATGGCTGAAGTCCTGTTACGCAGTGAAATAAATGCTGTAACTTTTAGAGGTGAAATGCTGTAAGTTAAGAAATCTTCTTAGACATCTGTTGCATATGGCGTCCCATAACTTAGCATGTAACATACTGTATAAGGTCTGTCGGGATATTTTTTAAATGCAAATTGCCCCTAAAAGTTACACGGTTTGCTTCACTGCACAACAGGATTTCAGCCACTCATGTGTTTTTCTTTACCATTAAGTGCTCATGGTACAGATAAAATGATTCCGCTCCTGAATAATTAGAAGAAGAAGCTAGCATTTATTGAAGGGAGAAGCAGAAATATTTAACAATCATTGCGAAGAATTATGTGCAAGTTTAAAGTGTCACATTGGTTTCTATGGATTCACTGCCATATACAGGTGTCTGCTTTGTGCAAGCACAGAGTTTGCTTTATTGTCCTTTCAAGAAATAAAACTCAGATGTGTTGAGAAAGGAAGGTCTGTCTTGGTAAATTGTGTAGAAGGCAAGGGCAGTAAATTTTAAATGGAGCAGGGTCCTGAAGTGCTTCACTTAATAAAACAGAACTTTAACTGTTACTGTCAAATCTCCCTCCCACTTGTAAGCTGCCTTGCCATTCCATTTTCAAGGTCACCGAGGAAGGTAGTCAGTCATGATCCCTTCTTCCCTCTCCCGCTGGCAAGAGGTTTGCTATGAGAAAAAATCCTTTTTAATCATAAGGATATTGATAGGTGAGATTCTTCACCAGGAACCGGCTGTCAGTCACTGCGGGTAGACTTAAGAAGCCAACAAGTGAGTGATTTTAGACCATCTGTATGAACCCTTGATTAGATATCTTTTCTTGGAGTAAAGACTCTGTGCTGTAGCGGTATTCGGCATCACTTCAGTGGTTGCTGTCTCCTGAAAATAGGCATTTGTAATAGAAGTGGTGACTTACACTTGTCCTATATTTATTGCTGTAATCCAAGTTTCCCATTAGGTGCTGTTGCAAGATATGTAAGTTCTCCCTTTGATACTGTTTCTAATCAATCTCCCTTAGCTATTTTGTACTCCTGTGTGGGAAATGGGATTGCTCTCTTGCAATTTTAGGTCTGAACTTTCAGTTCAGTCTCTGTGTTTGATTCATTATTGTGTGGTAGGTGACATAGGCATCCTTCAGTCTCGAGAGACTATGGTAACATGCTCTGAATCGAGGAGTGTCCTCTCCAGATCATGAAGCCCGGGTAAGGTAATATGGAGGATAGGCTGTTACCCAAGCAGCAGATCCCCCCTCTCCACATTGCTGAAATGGTCCAATGGAAAGGCAAGAGCCAATACAACTGGTTCCAGCAATGTCGCAGGAGTTGGCAGAACGACACATGCTGCCTTCGGGACTCCAGCTCCGGATTTTGCCTCGAGGTTAACTCCTGAAGCCTTTTCCATGAGTGGATATAGCCACAAGGCAGTGGAGGTTTGAAATTGGAGTTTTCCTTCTCCCAGAGGGGCTGACGAGCCCCACCTCCCCGGCCTGCTCTTTAATAGTGCAAAAGTATGATCTGATCCTTAAAACATTCCTGACTACCCGGCTTATGCAAATCTCATTGGCTTTCCTATTTACCATATTAAGGCCAGATATAAAATTTGAGAATGACGCGCGGTCCTGGGACACACTCTTTTAAATCAGGAAGTCCCAACCCTAAGCCCCACCCCCAGGCCATGTGCTCAGGAGACAAAAAGAAAGCCCAGGGAAAAAAACTCAGCAAGGCAAGGTGACAGAGTTAAGCATTTCCAGACCCAGTCATTTCCTCTGGCCCCCAAACTAAGCTGACAGAAATATTCATGTCTCGATCATATGTGTGAAGTGCATCATCATCATCATTATGATGAGTAGTAGTAGTAGTAGTAGTAGTAGTAGTAGTAGTAGTAGTAGTAGTAGTAGTAGTAGTAGTAGTAGTAGTAGTAGTAGTAGTAGTAGTAGTAGTAGTAGTAGTAGTAGTAGTAGTAGTAGTAGTAGTAGTAGTAGTAGTAGTAGTAGTAGTAGTAGTAGTAGTAGTAGTAGTAGTAGTAGTAGTAGTAGTAGTAGTAGTAGTAGTAGTAGTAGTAGTAGTAGTAGTAGTAGTAGTAGTAGTAGTAGTAGTAGTAGTAGTAGTAGTAGTAGTAGTAGTAGTAGTAGTAGTAGTAGTAGTAGTAGTAGTAGTAGTAGTAGTAGTAGTAGTAGTAGTAGTAGTCGTCGTCGTCGTCGTCGTCACACACACCAGGCACAGTTGGGGAAGAAATATTCCTCCTCTTAGTCTGAGATACTGATTCTTCTAATGTGGGAGATGTGTTGTGTAAGTCATTGTTTCCCTTGAAACAGAGAAGTCTTTTCTAGGGGGAAAAATCTTAGCTTGTCTCCTAGTTGTGTGTGAGGATAAGGAGCTGCAAAATCACTCTTATTTCCCTGTGATAGGCTGAGCAGTTTTGATTTTTATACAGATATATAAAAATGCAAAATAATGCTCAAATGCAAATAACACAACTGGCACCAAATGAAAAATGCATGCTCTTTTGTTGATTGGCCTCTGATTATAAGCATCAAACAGTGTGTTTGTGTCTCTTTTAACCATCAGACGTGGTTCTGTGCTTGCTCTGTGTGTGCACTTTGCTTCTCAGAGGGAAAGGAATATTTATACAAATAGTTTGCAAACATTGTGGAGACTGTTAAAAAAACTAACAAACTGCAGTGCTTGCTGTCATAGTGAGGCAAGAAATCTGAGGGTGGTTGAAAATTGCTTGTAGAGGTGTCTTGTGAAGTTCAGACAACAAAAATTGCTGAGAAATAAGATTTTAAAAGAGTATTGTCTATATATTCTTGTCCTACCTTGCTCTTTCGGGTGTTTTGAAGTACAGCTATATTGGCCATGTCCAATACATTCAGGTGAGGTGCAGTCCAAAACATCTAGAGCATCAGGTTGTGGGAAGCAGTGTTGCACTGAGTTAAATGTGAGTCAAGAAAACAGAACTGGGAATTATCAGAATTTCTTCGCTTTAGCTTCCATTACTTGGCCTTTCTGGAATGTGACCAAGGGAAAAACTGCAACGATTAGGTTTTATTTGTATGGGAGTGGCTGTTGTTATGTGCCATCAAGCTGAAACCAACTTATAGTGACCTTAATAGGTTTGTCAAGATAAGTAAGATATTTAAGGGGTAATTTCACCAGTTTAACTCCCCTAGTCATTTTTCATGGTTGAGTGGGGATTCAAACCTTGATCTTCAGAATCCTAGTCTTTCACTCTTTCCACTACGCCCCACTGGGATTGGTAGTATACAGTTAAAAAATATTCAGCTAATAGATATTCCTTGGATTTTAGTGTATTGCATTTTTATTTCAGGAACACGGATGCACCATTTCTTCTTTTTGTGGCTTATCCTCAGGTACATACAGCACTTTTTGCATCCCAGACATTCAGAGGAAAGAGCAAACATGGATTGTATGGGGATGCTGTGGAAGAAATGGACTGGAGTATAGGTATGCTTTATGGTTATTCATAAATTTTACATTTCCTAAGTTGTGCCTTTTTAAAATGAGAGCAGCCATGTTAAAAAATATGTTTCAGCAAGGAAAAAAAGGTGGCTTGTTATTCAAGCTTGGCAGGTTTGCCCCCAAATTTTTCATGTTAGGTACACCATCCCACTTCTGGCCAGTTGCCGTATATGAAGTGATTTTCTCCCAAAATGTTACACAGGAGTAATGATGTGAAAATTTGTCAGTCTTGTTCTCACCAAGTTTGTCCATTTCGCACCACTATGTTTGTTCTACTCTGTTTCCATAATGGATTGCAAGGTAGGTGTTTGTTTCATCACAGAATGTGTACATTTTTAAATGTATGTTTTTATGTGCCCTTTTAACTACCCTGTTTCCCTGAAAATAAGACCTAACCCGAAAATAAGCCCTAGTATGATTTTTTTATGATGCTCGTAATATAAGCCCTACCCCAAAAATAAGTTCTAGTTGAGTGAAACGCCACTGTGCCATTTACCACGTGGCCCCTGGTTGTTTCACCAAAGAGCTCACGCTATATCATCCTACGAGCTGACACCAATTGTGACGTTCACTCCTTTGACGCACCTATGTGTTGTTATGTCTTCACAAAGGGTTCAGTCTTCTTTTTTCCTCACTGCCACCAGTGGATTTCCTTTATCCACAATATAAAAGACTTTAGTCAAGCACTTGTCTGGTAACTTATTTATTGAAGTGTATCAAATTTAATCATAATCACAGATGTTCTTCAGATATTCATTGTACACAATCAATCATTAAAATACCATATATCATGCCACATAATCACCAACTGCCCTATCTATTTATCTCTATTAGTATCTGTTCCTTCTCTCTCGTCTCTCACTATCTCTCTGACTATCTATCTCTCTGCAAATTCTATCTCTCTCTTATCTTTCTCTTATCTTATCTCTTATCTTATCTCTTCCTGCCAAACCTTTATATATCTGTTGACTCCACCCCTCCAGTCCTCTCATAGGCTCATGCAAATGAGTTATTGACTATGAGTGACAGGAGTGACATGGTAAACGTCACACCTGCCCTCCACCATTGTGCAGCAACCAGAAAATGATGGCATGACTGTATTTGAGTAAATGTAGATTGTTGTACATGGGGAAAAAAATCCCCTGAAAATAAACCCTATTGTGTTTTTTGAAGGAAAAAATAATATAAGACCCTGTCTTATTTTGGGGAAAACATGATATATGCATTTTAATGTATACATTATATGCATTTTATATGTAGAGTTTTGTTTTCATTACACTTGTAAATAGTTGCTTATTTCATTCTCATAGCTGAGGGGAAAATGAGTAAGATTATGAGAGGTTTTATGTTTTGCACATTTCTGCAAGAATGTTACTGAATGGTTTTTTTGTACAAAAACCTTATATTTTGCACATCATAGTTTTCCCTCCATAAAAGGAATTTTTCTTCCTATAAAATATAAGGGTGGTATTTGTTTTTCTTTTTCAAAAAACCCACAGAATTGTTTGTTGTTCTTGTTGCTACTGGTATTTCTGTTGACTCTTGGGCCTTTTCACTTTACAGCAAGAGTGACAAATCTCCCAGCAATTATTAGATTTTCTGAGGGAGTGTCTTGGTACATCAAGACACCCATTATCGCAGATGAGAGTGAGAAGATTTGTGAATATTTGTTCCCTCCTCATTTTGCATTGACAATATCACATTTGTGTGCATTTTGCAAATATATACATGGATCTGAGCCCTTTCCATCTGTAAATCCCAGGGCAAGCCTGGCAGGTGTACAGATTTATGAGGCAAAATATGTTCTATTCTGTTGGGTGTCCCAAGTGGTACAAAATGTGTGTTTCCAGTCAGCAGTGCAAATCCAACAAATCATTTTCCTCGACAAGAGTGCCCAAATGATTTTAGAAACTCCATTTGAGCAGCTAATGCCAAATTATTTATCTTCAAGGCATGATCAAGGGATAAAATCTGTGGGTGTTTTCCCCCCATTCTCATCTGTCAAAATGGGCTACATTTGTTTTAGACTGCTACTCTCAAGGATTTGCACAGAGCTTGAAAAAGTTATGTTTCGGGGCTAAAGCTCAAAAACAAAACAAAACAAAACCCCAGAATGTCCTGTTCCATTATGGTTGGAGGATTCTGGGGGAGGTGGTCCAAAAAAGTAACTTTTCCAAATCTTGATTAATAATAAGAGGATGGCAAAATCTGTAAACATACTCAGATATATATATATGGATTTGCCTCAGTCTGGATCCTTCTTCTTTCCTCTTCATATGGTCATATCTTGTTATGGTTGGCATAATTATAGTTTGTCATGAAAGGAGATGATATGAAGAAGAATGATGGAAACATCATGGATCAATGGCAACTCCATGTTCTTGTTATTTTCAGCATCTATTCAGGACTTCTTGTACAAGATGGAAAGCACTGTTCTTTATACTGTTGATTGCCTTGTTCAAGAAACAGAAACTAATATATGGTTGAACTTGGGTCGCTTCTGTAAGAGCTATGTCTAGGAAGCTTCCTTTTCTCTGTGTGATGAAACAGTATATTTGTTTGTTTGTTTGTTTGTTTGTTTGTTTGTTTGTTTGTTTGTTTGTTTGTTTGTTTGTTTATTTATTTATTTATTTATTTATTTATTTATTTAGTGATGATTATGAGATGGATCATCTAGATATGTGGTGCTTCTGAGATGGACCAGTTCTGAACAAAATCATAGGAAGGTTTTGAACTAGCTTTGAGTGGATTCACACTTAGTCCTTAATTGCATAGGATTGAGTTGACTCTCAGATATCAACAAATCATAGGAAGGTTTTGAACTAAATGTGGATTCACACTTAGTCTTTAATTGCATAGGGTTGAGCTGACTCTCAGATACCTGGGGTGAAGTGTAAACTACAGAATGATTCAACCCATAAGGTTGAACTGAGGGTTTCACCTTCAGATTTTCAGGCAAGGCATCCTGACACCTGCTCAAACCACAAGCTATCCATGGTGGGTCCTTTACATGAAATAAGTTTGTTTCAAAAGCCCCAACAAGTTCTCATCCTCTGTGTACCAGTGCAAAGGAGACCCCTCCAGGATGTGAATTAATTTTCCAGTTTACCGGTTCTCCAAAAGGGGTCATGTGAGTGGACGTGTATGTGTGTCTCTGCTTTTGTGTGTGTGTTGGGGGAAAAAAACCACAAAAAGCAAACTGGCATATGTCCTGTTTTTCACATGTTACAAATAAATCGCTTTCAACGGACTGTGGAAGAGTTTGCACCAATTTTATTCTGGTGCTCGGAGCTCCCAAACCCACTGGCAACCTGGGTTCAATTTTTGAAATCAATGGGAGCTGAGCATGTTTCATTTTCTTTCTCATATTGTTCCCCTTAGTTAATGCTGATTAGTTTTACAGAGGATAGCATCACACACACACAAAGAGTTTGTAAGAAACTGCATAGGGCACAGAGCCCTCACAAGGCGCAACCTTCAGGGGAGTGCTAATTTATCAGACTCTACAATGAGCCTGTTTTATTTGTGGGCAGAGTGGAATGACTCTTCATTTCTAGAAGTAATTATCCATGAAAACAAGCTGGTACTTGAAACAATCAAGCTGAAGCACAGCAGTGCTAAAAATGAATATTCAACTTCCATTCCTCCAACCCATTCACCTCCCAACTATTCCTAGTTCCAATGTAGCAAAATACAAAATTACTTTTAGTAAACAATGCCATATGTATTCAATTATTTCAAACTGACTTTCACCTCTGTGCTAGATGCATGCTTAGTAATGTGTTTTGAAACAACATGCCTTGATTGCCCACACAGGGTTGAACCCCATTCAGATTTCTAGGCAAATTTAGCCTCAAAATTTAGACTATGAATTAAGGTGTAGAGACAGGCTAAAGAGATTGTTGAAGGTCTCTCCTGTTTCCCATGAAGATGAACCTTAACTTCCAAAAATGACAGTGTAGTGTTCATTGAAGTATAGGAATAATAATTGTCAATCTCTTTATGCACGTACACTAAATACATGCTATGAATATGGAGCCTGTTGGGTGACTACAAAGTGGTACTGCCACTCACTCACTTGAAGAGAAGCAGAGAGAAATATTATGGCGCCATCTTTGTCCCATCTTTATTCACATTTGACTAGGCTTGCTCATTCTCTCTAGTGGGCAGCACAAGCTTCAACTAGTGCTCTGGGAACAAGTAGGAACTCTTGCCCTTCATTCCAACCATCTAGCCTGCATTTCATAATATAGTGAATTTTGGGACAATAGGTTTTGGTGGTATCTTTCAACCATATGTCATTGTGGCAGACTAGTGTGGAGAGAATAGGGACTGTTGCATAGGGGACTACCAATTAACAACCAACAGCACCTTTAAGGTGAAAAAGGCTTTTCATTTGGATCCATGAGTCTGGGGCAAGAGAACAATATTTGAAACTGCATCTCATTCTAGGACCCAAGGTTGAGGGTACTTCGACCAGGATGGCCGTCCAGGCCTGAGCCATTAAAGGTGGCTTTACACTGAGGTCATGATGATAAAGATGAGGGGGTAAGTCTAGGGGTCCCCATGCTCATCTTTGCCCAATATTTTTGGGAAGCCTCTACTATAGATCCAGATAAGTAATGAATGAACAGTGAGCCTAAATTACCCTATACCTCTGTGCTGACCAAGGTTCCCTCTAAGGGACTCCACCCACTCTGCAGTTTCCCTCCTCCTCAGCACACTCACAGTGATTGTTTCTGGCCCCTTTCTTTTGAGTCACAGGGGAACCCTGCTGTGGAGGAGGTATCGCACATGAAGGGGGGGAGTGGAGCCACACCCAGCAGGGCGGAAAATTAGAGGGAACATTGGTGCTGACCCTTTCTTGTGAATTGGTATGCACTCAACCTATTAGGCCTGAGTTGGCTTGCAACTTTCCCTACCCCAACTTGTAAAATTCAAAACTTTTACACCAATAGAACTGCCACCACCTTGGTTGAAGCCAG